ATTGCTTGGTTCTGCAGTCGACGCCAGTGGAAGCAGCAGCCAGGACATCAGACAATATATAGCACTGAGCAGGTCGGCTGCAAAGGACCTGTTTCAAGTGCTGAGGAACAGAGATGTCTCCTGGAGGACTAAGGCATGCCTGACACAAGCCATGGTATTTTCACTTGCCTTATATGCATGCGAGAGCTGGACAATGAATAAGGAAGACTGAAGATTGATGCTTTTGAGTTATGGTGCTGGCAAAGAATGCTGAAAGTATCATGGGGTGCTAAAAGAGCTAACAAATCTGTCCTGGAGGATGTGCAGCCAGAATGCTCCTTGGAAGCGAGAATGGCCAGACTTCATCTCACCTACTTCGGTCATGTTGTCAAAAGGGACTATTCCCTGGAGAAGGATGTCATGCTTGGTAAGGTGGAGGGTTGATGAAAGAAGGGAAGGCTTTCAATGGGATGGATTGAAACAGTTGCTGTGGCGATGGGCTCAAGTATAGCAGGGATCATGGAGCTGGTGAGGGACCAAGCGGTGTTTCATTCTGCTGTGCATAGGGTCACTATGAGTCGGAGACGACTTAACGGCACCTAACAACAACAGCACAACAAAGGCTGAAAAACATACACAGGAACTTTGAACTGTGATTGATTCAGGGCAGTTGGTGACAAGGAATAGAGGGAAGCAGGGCTTCAAAGGTAGGAATGCCTTGGCTGCCAGCCTGATTCGACATTGTTGGCTCTGATCTGGCTGCTGGAGGATTGCATTTGAAGAGGTGGACTGAAAGGGTGTCAGGGCTGGTGAGGCCATTAGGAGATTTGTGACAAAAGCAGTTCGATGCTGAATTAGGGCAGTAGCAGTCTTCATAATCTTCTCCCTCAACTCCAAAATTTCTAAATGTTTTGTTAAGATTGTTGTTGTTGCTGTTATGTGCTGTCAAGTCGGACCCGACTCATAGCGACCCCTCCTTGGGTTGCCGAGGCAGTATCACTACGAAAGTAGATTGCCCCATCTTCCTTCCAAGGAGTGGCTGGTGGGTTTGAACTGCCAGCCTTCTGGTTAGCAGTTAAGTGCTTTTAAGCACTATGCTACCAGAGCTCCTTTTGTCAAGATAGGCTTTGTGAACTATAGGATGCCATACAAGTGTTAGTTGTTTGTTGGAGGAAACTGTGAGAGGGAGACTTTATATGTGTCATTTGGTTTCTGTTATAAACTTCTAGAAGGCAGGGTTTTGTTCTTGCTGTTCGGTTTTTGTTATTGCTGTTTTTGCATGCAGTAGGGTTTGCTTGTTTGTTTGTTTGTTTGGTTTTGGATAGGTCTTATATGTGAACAAGAGGAAAGTAAGGTTTAATACATCTTTTTAGTATTTTCTTGGTTATGCACAAGTCAGGCAGAATGACACTGAAGATACCCTTAAACAGAGAGGGAAAGTGAAGGCAAGGGAACAAAGGCATTTGAAGAGTTCCTAAGACCAGTAACAGAAATGGTATTAGAATGCACAGTTTGGGTTGTATTTAAAATATTTAAAATATAAAATATTTAAAACTGTCTAAAATGCACCTCGAATGAGAACATTTGTTCACTTCCACTTACTACTTATATTGGGGATATTTCCCAAAGTTAATAACTTGTTCCTCAATACATGTCATAAGAAATAGTAAAAGGAAAATATGAATCAGAAGGTGATTAAACTTACAAATGTAAATACTTGGAACATTTTGCATTCTCCAATCTTAGGGTTTTTCTTAAGGCAAAGTTACCAGTTGTTTTTTTAAAAGACTAAAATTTTGGGTAATAGTATTTTAATGTTACGTATTTTCTAGAAAATGATCAAGTTAGTTTTTTAATTAAAAATCATACACTGAGAGAACACTAAGGTAAATTTTAATAGATAGCAAATTTAAGCACTAAAATTTCAGGAATTAAATACAGCTTCAGGGTATACCATAGTACTCTGGTGGGTTGAAGTGGGGGGTATATGAGGTGGGGCGATAGTTATGCCACTAACTAATTTGTAATAAATTACAAGTAAGTTTTAATAATAACCAGTGAAAAATTAGAAGCCTTTATCTGCTGCTTTCATCTTGGGAGAAACAGGCTATAATAATAATGTAAATAATAATCAAAAAGTATCGGTTGATTTCCCCTTGTGTAGATAACATAACATTGTTATAGTTCTATTTAAAAATTTTATTTTTCTCTGTAAAACATTTTTCAAAGCTGTTTTTTAAATATGGAACAGACTTTTTATAGTATTAAGCCCCTTTAAACAAAGAACATTTATTTTGTCAGCAGAGGTTGTTACAGGAGCCATTCTGGCTTTTACCAGTAATTGTCTCTTAGCTAGTATCATCAGCTACACAGTGGGAAGCTTGGACCAAATTAGAAGGGAAGAAGGGAAATCACTGTTCTGATTAATTCAGGAAACCACAACAGTGGCATCAACCTGCTGCGTAATCATTTTTTTGTGTTTCTGCCTTGGCAGGGAGTTGTCTGACAGTTCTGGTCTGAGAACAGGGAGCATGAAAAGTCAAATAGAAGCTTTTCCTCTGATATTACAAATAGGCACTAGTTGAGGAATTAATTTTTGTTTAGCAAATGAATACCTATAATCCCTCATAATCCTGAAGTAGTTTTGGGAATGTTGCTGTTAATATGACAAATAAATAAATAATAACTCCCCCCCCCCAAAAAAAAAGGGAGCTCTGGTGGCATAGTGCCTAAAGCATTTGACTGCTAACCAGAAGTCCGGCGGTTCCAACCCACCAGCCACTCCTCAGAAGGAAGATGGG